CTAGCAACCTCTTGGTCCCACGATGGCGCCACTACGCGCCTCCTATAGTGCTAGTAGGGGGTCTCGTAGGAAACCCCCTCGAGGGCTACCATAACATTAACTTCACCGCCGAGATAATAAAGGACCTTAATAGATCTACCTCTCGCCTTGCTAGAGCTATAGGCCTCGATATAACTTACTATCTCTACCGCCTCTTCTCTCAAGTCTATCTAGCCACCTAGTCTATTATCACTAAATTTGTTCACGACCGGCAAAACGACTTTGGCCACGCGTCACTCCCAAAGAATCTCCGCGCCGTACACGCACACACGGTGACCAATGCTGTTGAATATATAGGGCGTTTCACCGTGGCCCTTCTGGCGGATTAACCACCGACCCTAGAGAGCCAAAACGTGACCTAGGACAACCTATTTGATGTGCGCCAGATATGGTGGAGCCGGCAATATCTCCTAACACGGCCTAGCGACTTTGGTGCTAACTCTCAGCTCAAGAACCACCCCCTTGTCTTTGATGCCAAGGAGACGTTCCTCGCATAGAAGGTTCTTAGTCATTTCTACATCCAACTCCGCAAGAACCCCAATTTCTCGGTCAAGTCCGCCTAGAACAACAAGGCCATCCCTCCCTAGCTGATCAGCACGACGGCGGCGAAGCGCGCAGCACCTACGGCGTCAAACGCGGAGGAAACCCGGATCTCCACGCTCGAGAACGCGCTAGCTACACTAACCCAATCGGCCCGCGACGATACGGATCTGGATAATCCTCACTCCCTCGACTCGTCACTAGCCAAGGCTATTTCTGACTAGCAGTACGGAAAGCTCGTGTTAGAACTAGGCACCTCGCTTGATCGCCTAGCAACCGCCCGACTTGGCCGTCCTGCCCTCTCGCTCTCTGACGTGAACGCTCTCCACAGCTCGTTGTGCGGCCCGACCTTCTAGATAGGCAACGTCCTGCTCTACTAGCCCCCCACTGCGTTGTCCCACGGTAAGATGGCCTACCACACAAACGCCACGATTGCCACTAGTGAGGCTATCATCACCGTAGCAGACACTACCGACGTCCTGCCCCTAGTCTATTTCGATTCGGCTCCTATACTAGACCTAAGCAAGGACTAGGCGATCGAAGTCCTTCGACAACGTCAGTAGCTATAGGTCTCGGCTCAACCTCCATCCTTTGATACGGCCATTGCCTAACTCGGTCTTGACCCGTATAACAATAGCCACGCCATCCTCCACCCTCCCAACACATTCCAGGTCCCCCCTACCTTCCTAAAGCCCTGGTAGGTTACTAGTGTGGCGTGGATGCTCGATTAGGAGCAGAGTCCTCTATACGGAGGTCTCCTCGCCGACGTATATAGGCTTAGAAAGACCCTAAGCGCACTCACCCTTATCTGGACCGCTAACCAAGACTTGGACCCCAAGGATCCCACCTGTACGTTTGTCCCTTCCCTGATCCTAGTCCCTAATGCCCTTGTGGACATATGGATAACCGAGATTGATCGTTATTTCGGTGACTCGCTGACGCTGATCCTGTTCTTTGGCTCCAGCACCCGTACTGGTGACCGGCACCGCAAGTCGCTAACCATTAGCAAGATCGCCGATCTACAGAGCGCCCTTGACCGCCTCGATTGCTCCGATCCCGCCACGGGCACCACCGTTATTCTCTCCTCGTACTAGACATAGGCCCGACGCACCACTCGCGAGGTGGACTTAGAAGGGAACCCTGTTACGGCCACCTGTTAGAGGACTGGCCCCTACCGGCCCGCAGCCGATCCGAGGACACTAAATCCGGACGCAGACGAAGAGGAATTCGATAAGGATCTGCTTACCGACGTAGAGGACGAGCCTACTCTAGCCGACACCCCGACGCCCTCGCCCCCTGTCAACAATCAAGCTGATAACGCGCGGGATTAACTAGCCGAGCTTCAGGACGTAGACGCAACTAACCTCTCTGCCGCCAAGTCCCTATCTCGTCGCCGGCACTTTGTTAGTCTCCTCCGCGCTCGGTTCCAATAGGTGATCTGCGACGAGGGTCACCGCGTCAAGACTATCTCATCGAGGCAGCACTAGTCTGTGGCCAAGCTAGCCCGATATGCTACCTGGTTCGTGACGGCGACACCTATGTGGAACAAGCCCCTGGACTTCTGCGGTTACCTCTCGCTCCTCTGGACAGAGATAGTAGAGGCATAGTCTATTGACGCTAGCCAGACATAGGAATCCACCGATCTCGACGCATACCGCATGTGGTCCGCTACTATGCAGCTCCTATCCACCGGCCTCCCGTACCACCTACTTTCCCCTAGTGGCCTCCTGTCTCTAAGCCGCAAGGGTTATCTCACGAGCTAGGTTGGGTTTGACTACCTACCGATTATCCTTCGTCTTACCTACCTTTGCCGCGAGCCAGGCCACACTATGGTGGGTGCGAACGGGGCCATAGTGGAGATTGGAGGAGACATCCCCCTATTGGCTATCACGACGGTCGAACTACGGTACACACGGACTACCTAGATCACTCACGATCAGACCTACGGCCGGATTATCGAGAGTCTATACGGCGGAGCCACCGAGGGGGAGGATAAGGCCATGGTCGCTATGAACTAGTCCTCCTTTCGATAGCTATGCCACCTCGCCGTGAACCCAAAGCTAGATGTGTTCCTTCGACGGTCATCGAGCCGAGTGTTGTCGGCGGATATTAGCGCATTTGGGGACTACGGCGATGACCGTGGCTTCGGCCTATTCTTTGCCCGGACCGTGGAGGATCGAGCCACCGATCTCCTAACCAATCGCATGGCGGTTGCCTATTACCTCGCACACGACTATCCCCGACTCCGGTTCCTATTCCACCTGCTCTGGACCGAGGGCACTCTGGCTAAGTCCGGTGCATACCCCCGGTTCCTTATCTACTACAACTAGCCGTTCACTCGTTGGTTCGTCGAGATATTCCTCGCGGCGCTAGGGGTGGATTTCCAAGTCATCCGCGCCGGGATGTCCCTCGAGGGGCGGACTATTGCAATCCAGCAGTTCACGAACCCCGAGAGTACTACCACTATGCTCCTAACTACATTTAACTACGGTGCGTTAGGCCTAAACATGCATGCCTAGTGCAGTCGGATCGTGCTCCTAGAGGGGAGCCAGAACTACAACAGCGTTTTCCAGACTATCGGGAGAATCCACCGCCTCGGCCAGACGAGTCCCTAGAAGGCGTGGATCTTCTTCTAGGACCACACGATCCAACAGTACTTGGAACATAACTATACCAAGAAGATCCTTCCCTAGATCGCCGCATAGTTCCGCCCCTGGCTGCAGAGCCAGGTGACCACTAGTCCCACCGCGTATGACGACGCCAACACCGAGGCAAACGACGCCGAGGCCGAGATACCCGATGCCGACACCGAGATACCCGATGCCGACGCTAGGACCAACAACGACGAGGACGATCTCGGGCAGCTAGCATACTAGGTGCTCGCTAACATGCTTAGTATCGCCAACGACGCTCCCTCCCGGCTTAAGATGGATGACTACCGTGAGCTAGGTCTCTAGGGCTCTACCAACCGTGGCCATAAGTACTCTATCCGTGGGTTATCAAGCTCTGCTCCTGCTCTAGTGACCCCCGTCAAACCCCACCGTTCGCGCAAGCGAGGCCGCTCCCTAGTTGGTCTAGAGACCCCGACCCAGACGCCTCGTCCAGAGTGATAGGTGTTCGTGTCCTCTCCGATTTTTTTGCTTGATCTATGCATGCTTTGTTTTTCTTGCTTCGTTTGTGTTCCTTGCTTCGTTTGTGTTTCACTTTATTTCCTGGCTTCGTCTATGCTTTCTTTCGTTTTGCTAGCCTTGTCTGTACTTGTTTTCGTTTTGCTTGCTTCCTTCAAATTTGTTCTTCAATGCTATGCTAGTGTACTGGCTTGATGGTGATACCAAGAGTGCTAGCATTTAGATAGAACCTCGTGTTTTGCTTGCAAATAAAATACCTAGGCCTTCGGCCACCAAATGTTGATGTTCCGCGTAGAAGACCCTACACGGCTCGTTGGTAGTACGATTTTATGTGCGACAATATATCCTAGAGCCCTCTTTTCTGACGGCCGTCGGAATTTCAGCTACTAGACCGCTGCTGACTAAGTCTCGATTTCTGACGGCCGTCAGAAATTAGCCGCTAGTGTGAACATAGTCCTCGACGTCAAGTCGGTTACTACGCTCGTTAATTGCCTCTTATACGCCAAGATAACTTCTTCGATATAAATAAGCCATTCTAGCTTAGTATGGTATTCATTAGCCAACGAAATTGTCGAACAGCTTGTGTAGACTAAAATACGCTTGATAGTAGCAGATATCTACTTTATCTATGCAAGTACAAAAACTAGGCCAAATCGGATTAGCCTAATCATAGGGCTTAGACCGAACACTACTTACTAAAATGGCTAGCTTGATTTAAGGCGAGTTGTTAGCTTGATTTCCGTCAAACTTGAATTGCCGGAGACGTGGCTCCAGGTGTTTTAGATGAACACCATGTAGAAGAGGCCATCGGTACTGTTCTCTTTCCGTGCTCACTGCTTTTCGCATCCTCGGTTCAAGCTTAAGGATTTGTCCCGTTAAGCGATCTCGTCGGTTGGCGATAGATTCTTTATCGGATGTCATCTTATCTTCGGCATCTATATCGGTCGAGCGACCGGGACGTATTAGCCGCTTACGGGGCCGTAGAACCCGTCTGGAATGTCCCAAGGCCTCATATTCATCTAGAGCTTGAATCATTTGCATGCATAATCCTTGCGCCATAGTCCCCTGAATCTTGCTCTGGGCTTTCAATACCGAGTCATCTCCAATGGTGATCCCGAAGTGAAAGGTAGCCGGTGGGGGTTTTCTTTTCCACTCTGGGGCATCGGGATTCTGGGAAAAACGATCGGCGATACGTGATAGTCTCTTATGTAATGCCCCCTCTAGAATCTGAAGTAGGTCTATCTCCGGCTCCATGGCGTTCCTCATATACCGAGGCTCGCCATAAGAGCGGCCCTAACCGGTTGTCGGATGGTGCTTGATGTACCCGGCAGGGAGGAGATCGCCAGGCTCTAACGTGCCATACCATTGCTTGTAGTGCTCGTAAAGCCCGGCATTCGAGCTAGACCACCATACTTCCTGCCCGGTGTCCTTGGACTTGCGCATAAACCCATTGTTGTGTGGGTATGGCAGTAGCCAGTGGCTTTGGAGAAATGAAGTCTTCAACGCCTTCTTCCACTCACGCGCTCGAGCTTTTCCGAGTATTTGGCTGATAGCCTCAAAGCTTTGCTGATATACCATACGATATGGCTTATCCTTCCACCCCTTACGGTCATAATAGCCGTCTTTCCACTCCCACAGCCAAGCGAAGATAGTGTCCACACTCTTGACCGCGATCCGACGCTGATCTAGAAGTTGTAGCGGTTAGGCACCCTCAACGAACACGCCACTGATGCTATCATAGCTTAGGGGAACCTCTCCTGCTAGGGCACGAGAAGCATGATCCGGGTGTAAAAGTCGTTTGACCTGTAGAAACACGTCCTTGCGAAACACACAAAGAGAGAGTTGTCGTAGAAAGTCCTCTAGAAGATCCAGACAAGGAGGAATCGAACTGAATTCTTCCATCCAGCGGTGGGCCTAGTGCACCCGCAAAAAGTCTAGACGGACGTCGCGGATCTGCGCATACCGTGCGTGGAACGCGGCCTGCATAGAAGGGCTGTTGAATATCATGTATTGCGCGGATGGCTGTCGAAATGTCATCGTATCCTAGTTGAGCTTGTCCAGAAACCAGGCATATCCGTACTCTGCCATACTGCTTTGGAACCCTAGACCTTCACACCGGCGAAGACCGTCCGCTTGTCGAATATCAGGGCGGAGCCAGATATCCCGCCAGCATCCAGACACACGCTCAAGGAGGCCACCTACATATGAAAATTGTAGGCAGCGGAGGAACATCATCATAACCCGGGTATGTTCCCACGTGACGAATTAGCGGTCATTGATGCTATAGACAGTCTCAAACCCCACGCAGAACTTGTTGATGTTCCAGTGGAACCAGTAGAGGAGGGTGGATGTAGGGAGAGAGTAAAACGGCTCTACCTAGGATGGAACCGCTGGAAGTCGCGTGGCACATAGATTGCGGTCTCGAAGCTCCTGGTCGATCGCATAGAATAGGCGAAGTGAGACACGGTGTTCCTCGCGAAGCCCGAAGACCTTCATATATGATCCTTGTAATGCAGCAGAGCACCGCTGCTTCATCTATAGATAAGCCCGTATTAACGCGACAGGGTTATGGCTGAGACCTCCCCCGATATACTGCCAAGTCTTACGTAGCTAGGGATCTAGTGCTAAGGTGTCGAGGGCCGGGTTTGTAAATAGGTATACGTCCCCTGCCGCAAAAACCTCCTTCACACTTGAATAAAGCTGCGTGTAGAGAAGGCCTACCTACCGCTACGGGGCGGATCGATGCGTCTCTAATATGAGGCTGCCAGAGTCGTGGAGGAGGCTGATCGGATAAAACTACCGTTTTGGGCGTAGAGACTCCGGAGGATACTGCTGCCCAATCCACTCAGCATACGATTCTAAGCAGCATCGCCGCCAGAGGATGGTCTATGGCACTAGTTGGTTTGCACCAGGCTCCCTGTCCGAACGGTGCCTAGATGCGAGGAGTCCAACGCCACCAACCTATGAGGCCCTAGTAGGATAGGTCTCTTTCCCGATATCGATATAGAATTGATCGGATAGATAAGACTCGTCGATCGTGTTCCCCTAGTGCTAGGCAAACTCCTACATCATACCGTCCCACGTATTTGCTTTGGTCAATATCTTGAGGTTTTTCCCTTAGACGAGGATGGTCACGTCCGAGAATTGCTGTAGTCTAGCGCTCTAGATAGTCTCTAAAATACTTGCCCACACAAGCGAGAGGGCATTTGGTGGGAGAAAATAGAATAGAAGCTGCTCCCGAGCGACCGGATCCGCTCGCTGCGAGCGTATCTCAACACCTCGGGCCGTAGCGTTCAGCCGGCTGTGGTCAAAGCTCGAAGGATAATGCTAGACGAGTGAGCTATCGTGATAGCGGTAAATTGCAGGAAGAAGTATCTGGTCTATCTAGATCCGAAAGTCGTTATCACGGAGGCGACTAGATTGCTGCTCTTCTCGGTAGAGGCGCGGGAATAAGAAGTAAAGTGAGATATCCTCAAACCCAACCAACCGCCCAAACGTATAATGTGGGATCTTATACACCGGCTGTCGGACATAATTCTGAGGATGTCAGGGTTATAGGATCATGTGATAAGAGGAAAGGAAGTAATAAAGAAGAGAGTAAGAAGAATAAAGTGAGAGAGAAGAGTATAGTTATTTATTTCAGTCGGGGTATCACTCTCTATTTATGTTATTTCCCCTAGGTGGCAAATGCTCTTGCCACCTAGTTGATTTATCAGCATTGGTAATTTGATTTATCAGCAGATGCTTCTAGTTCTTTCTATTAGCTTCTATTGCCGATAGTATCCGAAGGTATTCGGTTATAGCCGAGATCTCGGTTCTTATTGGTTCGGGATCTTATCTTATAGATAAGATCCACTATATTATAATTGGTCTTATAGGAAAAAGTGGCTTTTTCCTACCCTCCATTATAAAAAGGGTTCTTTTATAGTCGTATAGACTTCTTATATTGATACCCCCCCCGTAAGCTATATAGGGTAGGGTACTCTATATAGGTTATAGTATATAGTATATTGGCGTATTATTATTATAGTAGTATTTTTTATGGTATAGCACTTAGACCTAGTAGGTTTAAATGATATTGATATAATGGTGTTGCTAAACACTTAGTGAGTGTATCTGCCAGTTGGTCCTTTGAGCTTACGTGTAGTAGCTCAATTTGGCCAGTAGCTATAGCATTTCTTGTAAAATGATATATAAGCTCAATATGTTTACTTCTTTTGTGGAATTCAGGATTTTCAGCCAACTTCTTCGCAGACATACTATCCACTAGTATTTTTGGAATAGAAGTGGAATATCCGAGTTCTAGTTTCTTATTGATATAGTTGAGCATATTAGCTAAGTAAATAGCTTCTTTTGTGGCTTCTTTTAGTGCCATATATTCTGCCTCGCAACTACTCAGTGCGGGTGTTTTTTGTAATTGTGAATTCCACGATATAGGGTTATTTTGTCCTATAGTAGGACTAAGGCTAAAGATATAGCCTGTTGTAGATCTTCTATTATCTAGGTCATTCGCCCAGTCGCTATCAGAGTATCCTTTTAGTATAAGGTCTTCTCCAGCACAGTTTAGGGTAAGCCCTAGATTAGGGCTTCCTAAAAGGTATTTCCAGATTTTATTTAGTGCCGTAAAGTGCTCGCTATTAGGATTGCTCATATAGCGTGCACAATAGATCACTTTATAGGTTATATCAGGCCTAGTTTTTAGTGCTAGGTATAGTAGTGAACCAATATGTTTTTGGTATATTTTGACGTCCTTAGGGTCTGCTATAGTGTCATTTTTTCGTAGTTTTGCCCCTGGTTCTCCTGGTATTAGAGTAGGCTTATATCTTGGGTTATTTATTATATTAAACTTTTGTAGTAGTTTTGCAGTATATTCCGACTGATTTATATATAGCATCTTTGTGCTATAGTTTATTTTTATAGTATTTCCTAAGAAGGTAGACACAGGGCCTATTTCTTCTAGTTTCACGTATTCTCTTATTTTATTAGTTATATTTCTTATATATTGTATATTAGGATGTATAGCCAATATATCATCAACGTGACATATTAGAATACAGCCTGTTTTATGGTTTATAAATATTCCTTCGTCGTACGGGAATACGTCGAATTCGAATCTTAGTAGTATAGTGGCTAGGTGTTTATACCATAGCCTAGGGCTCTGCTTTAGGCCATATAATGCTTTCTTTAAAAGGCAGCATTTCTTATTATTATTATATACCCCGATAGGTAGTATGGTATAGATATTAGCGTCTATATCGGCGTGAACAAAAGCGTTTTTCACGTCGTATTGTCTTATTTCCCAGCCCTTATTCACCGCTATTATCAATAGTAGGTGCCAGGTCTCTGTTCTACACGTAGTAGAGAATGTCTCTAGGAAGTCTATTCCTAGTCTTTGGTTAAAGCCTTGTATAACCCAGCGGGCTTTATATCTAATAGTCTTATCACTATTAGTTATATAGGACGGCTTTACACTATTAGGGTCTAGTATAGGTTTTTTCTTAAAAACCCAACGGCCTCTAATAGGTATAATGTTCTTTGGTATATCTATTATATCGTAGGTATTTTGTTTTTCTAGCTCACTTACTTCTTCAGCGCATGCGCGGAGCCATTCATCTTTTTCTGGGCTATTTATAGCCTGATTATATGTATTAGGCTCGTCTAAGTGAGACGTAGTTAATATAAAGTTATTATTAGCGGGTAATTCCAGGCTCGCTATTATATTATTTATAGTGGTATCTTTTATAGTATAGAAGAGCGTATTTTTAATCGGGATTTGTATTTCAATCTTATGTTTTGGGTCATAGTCTATAGCTTTATAGCTACTGTTATTGGTATTGTTATTGGTATTGTTATTGGTATTGTTATTGGTATTGTTATTGGTATTGTTATTGGTATTGTTATTGGTATTGTTATTAGTGCCTATATATAGGCCTATTTTTGAGTCCTTCTTCTTATCTGTTTTCTTTATTGGTTTTAGGAATTGATTCTCTGTTATAGTAACGTCTCTTGACCATAGAGCCGTCTTTTTGTTATAATCCCATAGTTTATAGTGTTTGTATTCGCTATAGCCTATAACAATAGCTTCTTCTTTTCTAGGAGATAGCTTTGATATATAGGAGTTTTTATGGTAATAAGCTTTTGATCCCCAGGATCTTATATTGCTTATATTAGGTTTTATTCCATAATAGGCTTCATAGGGTGTTTTAAACCCGAGTGATGTATGTGGGGTTCTATTATATATATAGCAGGCATGTATTAGGGCTTCACCCCATAAGTAGTGAGGCGTATTTGATTGTATTAAGAAAGAACGTACTTTATTGAATAAAGTAAGATTTATTCGCTCTATTAAGCCATTAGGCTCTTTTGTATAGGACGGAGTAGTTCGATGTATAATGCCGTTTTTTGCTAGACTTTTAGCAAAGGGCATATTTATATATTCTCCTCCGTTATCAGAGAACAATTCTCGTATTCTTCTCTTTTTATTGTTATTTTCTACTATAGCCTTAAAGTCCTCAAAGGCTTTATAGGCACCGTTCTTTGTATAGATAAGGGAAACCCATAGGTATCGGGATTTCTTATCTAAAAACGTAATATAGTAGGTATATTTATTGTACGTAGGTGGTAGTGGCCCGCCTAGGTCTGTATGTATTCGGTCTAATATATCGTATTCTATAAGATCAGATAAGTTCTTATAGATATATCTATTGTCTTTAGCTAAAAGGCATATTTTGCATTTATTAGCTATAAAGTTATTGATATCTTGTTGAGTTATAGTGATATTCTGGGCCCGTAACATATAAGTTAGGGCTTTTATATTGCAATGCCCTAGGCGTATATGCCATTAGGTCATTATTATAAGATTATTAGTCTTTTTATCTTTTGCTGTTTGCGGAAGGTCTATTATTTTCTGTGCTATTTGAGCACTTTCAGTATTGTTAGGTAGTATTTGAGCTTCCGTATAGTATAGGTTGTTTTGTTTATAGCCAATTGCTACTATTCTTTTATGTTAATAGAGTATAGCCTTTCTAGGGAGAAACAGGCTTATGATATCTGGCATTTTATCAAGACTCATTAGGTTTACGCCTAATTGAGGTAGGTATAGCACGTTTTTTAACGTATAGATATAGTCTATATTTGTTTTTATAGTCACATCTCCCTTATATTCTGAGGTTATATTGTTTGCGTCTCCCCACCGTACAGTGGTCTTAATAGGTTTATAGGAAGTAAAATCTTGTATATTAGCTATAGTATTGATAGTAGCGCCACTATCAATAATAAAGCGTATTTTTCTATTTTTTCTAGCTAGTAGGTCACTGTTTTTTGTATTTTTTGTGTTTATAGGGTTTATTTCTCGACCCGTTATTAGACCATCTAGTATATTATTAGCGGTTTTCGCTATATATATATTTGAGACACATACCTCAGTATCCATATCATCGAAATTAAAATCGATAAGCTCATTGGCTGTTATAGTTTCTTCTTGATCTACCTAAGTAGGCTGATCAGATTCTTGAATTTGTGCTATAAGTGCGTCCTTTTTAGCGTTATTCATTTTACTGAATTCGCTTTTAGGGTATTCAGATCTTTTAACAACGCGATTTTTCGACGTTCGCTGTTCCCAACCACTTAGGGCTTTATTTAGGTGTAGAAACCAGCATATTTCAGAGGAATGTCCTGGTTTCCTACAGTTTTCGCAGAAAGACTAGTTGTTTTGTCCTCTTTTTATATATTTCTTACTAGTAAGAAAGGCTTTCTCACTAGTTTTCTCACTAGATATTGCTTCTTTGCCTCTAGCTTCATCAATCAAGCTAGAGGTCAGCGTATCTAGTGTATAGGCATTGGTATTGCCCCGGAAGGCCTAAGTTATATTTTGTACAAAAGGTTCGTACTCTTCTGTCAGGCTAAAAAGCGTGAAAGATATAACAACCTTGTCGGGAAGGCTGATACCCTGATTTTCAAGTTCACTCCTTAGGTTTCTGATTTTATAGAGGAAAGCCTCCATAGTTTCAAAATCCGTAAGGCGAGTTTGAAAGAGCTATCGTAGCAGCATATATTCTGTTATAAAACCCCCCTATTGTAGGTGGTATCTAGCGCTTGCCAGACAAGGTAGGCGCTATTATAGTCCGCTATCTATATTTGGACTTCATCTAAGCAAAATAGTAAAATAGAGGCCATAGCCTTCCTATTTTTCTTCTTCTCAATAGGGTCTTCAGACTAATAGAGATCAGACTCTATAGCTTCTTCGAGGTCTTCTCTTGTGAGAATAGCCTTACAATTTCGCCGCCAGCGCGGGTAATCAAGGCTTCCTTTCAGTTTAGCTATAGTGATTTTTTCAGAAGAGCCCATTTTGGGATATAGTATCTCAGGTATAGGTATAAGGTATGTGAGAGGAATATGTTCCGTATAGTGAAAACTGGCTAGGTGGCCTAGTTTGATATTTGGGTATTATGATCTAACAGGGTGCGGGTTCGAAACCGGACGGTGTCAGATTATTTTTTTTTTGATTATTAATCAATTGTTTCACAGTGTCCTAATTGAGCGTAGAAGCCGGGCTCATAACCTCTGAGGATGTCAGGGTTATAGGATCATGTGATAAGAGGAAAGGAAGTAATAAAGAAGAGAGTAAGAAGAATAAAGTGAGAGAGAAGAGTATAGTTATTTATTTCAGTCGGGGTATCACTCTCTATTTATGTTATTTCCCCTAGGTGGCAAATGCTCTTGCCACCTAGTTGATTTATCAGCATTGGTAATTTGATTTATCAGCAGATGCTTCTAGTTCTTTCTATTAGCTTCTATTGCCGATAGTATCCGAAGGTATTCGGTTATAGCCGAGATCTCGGTTCTTATTGGTTCGGGATCTTATCTTATAGATAAGATCCACTATATTATAATTGGTCTTATAGGAAAAAGTGGCTTTTTCCTACCCTCCATTATAAAAAGGGTTCTTTTATAGTCGTATAGACTTCTTATATTGATAATAATGAGCGCAACCATTGCTTCTAATATAGTGTATAGGAATAGGATTCAGATATAGGCTTGAACGAAGGTCAGAGACAGGCATCTAAGTCGAGTTCCACCGCACTCCAAGTTTGGCCACTGCTAGACTATGCGCGAAGCCAACAATACTGTCGATATCAAAAGTCACCGCTATCGGGCGTTCTGGCTAGTGGTCGGCTGCAAGGCAGAGGTAGACTAGACGAGTGTTAGGCGTGACTAAACTAATCCCGGTATAGATCTCGCGTTTTCGGGTTGCGCTAGTCTTTCCTGCCAGGTTTTCCTCGCGTCTAGCTATTATTGCGGCACTAAGAACATCGGGGTATCCTCTATCTACCTAGATCTAGTCTAGATACTCTCCTAGACCGAGATGCTCCGTATGCTATATCTCATGTTCACTCTCCTACTACGTATGGCACTGGCGGCAGTAGCCATGGTGTTGTTAGAGCTGGTCAGTAAGAAGCTAGGCTAATTGAGAGATAGCCGTATTAGTTGTTGCGTCTTCGGTTTGATCAGGAGGTGGAACCACAAACGGCCTAGTCGCTTAAACCGGAATTTCAGTTACCCCTAGTATAAGACTGGCTTGGGTGGTCTCTTCTTGTGCACTCTCTGGAGAGATTGCTTGAGTAGGACTATTGGCTATATCACTCATGGATTCTAGTAGTACCCCGTTATCTATCGGCGGAATATTAGGTATCGATAAGTCCCACGGTAGAAGGTCCGGGCTAAGAGCTAGTAGAAGTTGCTCAACCTCGGTCGCGATAGAAAGTTCCCCCGGAGGAAAATAGCTTAACGATGGTTCATTGATATCAGTGGATAGGGGTATTGTGGCGGAATAGTGCTGGTCGAATTGCTAGTCACGATATATAGCGCGGGTAAACTGTCGCCGGTTCCGCCGTTGCGTGGCATTTGATATTTGTTTTGCCTAAGCAGACGTGTATATTCGCGGTCATCCTCGTTTTCGTGTTAGAGCGTCTGATAGTTGTGCCATAATAAGCTAGTAGGGGTATTCTCGATACGAACTTCTGCGGCGAGAAAGGCCTCTATTTTTTCAATGATACGAATAGGGGCCCCGAGAAAATCCAGTCAGCATAGCAATCGAACCTAAAATCGAATCTATCAGATAAAAGTAAGTTGTGTTCCGAAAGAGGTTTAGTTTTGACCACGAAATTCAAAAAGGGTTTAGTTTTGACCACGAAATTCGAAAAGGGTTTAGTTTTGACCACGAAATTCAAATAGGTTTAGTGTATGCTTATATCAGCGCATTGGCCTCAAATATGATCAGATTCAAACGACCATAACTCTATGAATATTCAAGTTATCAAAATAAACGTTGAACATTCGGCATGCCACGGTAATTCTCTATAAGCACAATATATATTTAAGCTCTTTTAATGCATGGTTGCGGTAAGTCGTGGTCATGATTTCGTATATGGTTTGGTTTCACAGCCATTGAACAGTATATAATGTGATTGTCGCCCGAAGCAGGAAGTTTAGACAGCACCAAGCCTATCTCACATATTTTCATCCCCTCCAATCTACCCATACATTGGGAGCTCTGGTGTTTGTCGTCGACTTCCTCCCGGCGCCATGACGCGAGTGCCACTGCTTTTACTCTGCACAATCTTCCAGTTGCTAGCACAAAGTGTCAAGGCGCTGAACGCAGCCGGCGCAGCCGAAACCACATTTTTTTACCAGGCTTATCTGCTGGAATTGGAGTATGTCACAGAACCCACCCGTCGTGCAATTGCCCCCGGTTGCCACGAAGGCGAGGAAAACCCGCCGTGTACCTATGCCGAGTTTGTGAAATATATCAGCAGCGATGAAGCCCTGCTACGCAACGATCCAAGTTGGGAAAAATTCAGCGCGATCTTCGACGCTGCCGAGAATACGCCTCTAGTCGAAACATCTCAGAAACTCCGAGAAGCGGGATTCCGCGCCGAGTACGAGCAAGAACGGCTCTACCCGAAAGATAAAGAGGCTAAATCCGTGCCTTACGCCATTCGAAAAATGAGAGGAATTGCGACTGGTACCAAGAAGAATAAATTTGTGGACCAGAAGACAAAAATGATCGAGGCATTGGAACTGGCAGCTGAAGTGCGGCGGGCGGACAACATGAAATATTTTATCCCGGTGCTCGAGGAAAAAATGGGGATCAAGATGGAACTAAAGGAAACTAAGTCTCAGACGCGCGATGGACTGGAATATCAAATGTATGACGAGGCTAAGACAGCGGAAAAGAACAAGGGCGTCGAGGATCTGGCTCAAAAGGTTGTCACGGCGGCGGATGGACTGCGCAAGCAGAAGAGAAAAGGCGCCGCCCCGGGGAAGCAACTCGACTTCGTTATTCATCAGACCATCATGCGGGAGATAGAGGAGTCGATCGGTCAACTGAAGCAAAAGTGTCCCTAGCTCACCATTTCCGGCGGATTGGCTTGGTGGGATGGTTGCCAGGACTCTCAAGTTACTATAGCTGGGTGTCAATTTTCTCGATGGTTGTTCCTACAATTTCAGCTCGACTTTCACGCAAGAGAAGAGAGAAGTAGAGCGTAAAGCGGCATCTAGATATGGAGTAGATGCTACTCTGTACAGAGTACTCCGTAGTGGAGTTTATCGATGTAAGATTTGAAAACTTTCGCTTTGGTAATTCTGGTCATTTTGGTATGTTTGGTATGAGACAGACCCCACTTTGCGGACTACAAGTATCATCTTGTCCCTCTCATTCCTTCTTCCGTCTTCTTCACTCCCCAGTTCATTGGCACAGTATGCTCAAACTTACTCAGACGACCTTGGATAATAAATCTACCCCACTCAAGGTCCCCGGCTTTCATGGTCTTCCCGTCAATGTGTTACTCGCCCAAGATGAATTTGCCACGGGGACCAATGAATGGCACGCTGCCATTCTAACGGCCAAGGAACTGGCTATGCTAAAGTTGATCAACGCCATCACCGACCGACCGGGTTGGCACCGTGACATTTTTGACCAACGTGTTGTCACTCAATGGCGAGAGGACGCCGCTGTTTCATCATCGCTGATCAACGACAAAACGTGGGACTGGTGCTTGAAAGAGCTGCAGGACAAGGCCCAAGAATATGACCGTGACGGTCAATCCGTTGTCTTCAACACCCACAGCGGTGTCTGTAAATCAGACACGGCAATATCTTCCGTTCTGAAATCGCAGCTCTCGAATTCTGCGGACCTGCTTTCTCATCGAGCGGTGCGAGACAAGTCAGCGCCCGCTGTGATTAATCTCGTCGAACCTTCTCTTTATCCTCTTGTCTTTGGAAGAACGAAAGTCATATCTAGCGGACAATCGTGCGGAATGGACGAACACTCCTGGTTGTCCCGCAGTGAGGAGGGCCCAGTGGTTTCGGAAACTCCACAGGTGGCAAAGGACGCCTTGAAATGGCCGTGGGGCAAGTCTAAGCACATTTGGTCCTCGAAATTCCAGTGGCTGCCGTGCGAAGTGGAATTTACTGGTCCTTCTGGATCCACGGATGTTCAGATTTCGTCTTACATCAACAATATCCATCCAACGAACAGGGAGATGTACTCCGCGGTCGAGTCCGTGATTTCCGCTAGCATCAAGCAATGGAATAAGGGGGTAGTTCGAAACAGGCTAAGACAAGTTCAAAGCAAATATCACGTCTCCCATCCACGTGAGCCTGTGCGGATACACACTTACGGAGTAGAGTGGAAAACCGAGTTCCCTGAATGGGCAAAAACGTTACCCCGCATGGAAGACGAGAGTAAACTCTCTGTGGAGGAATACGAATCCATGTGTGCTCAAGTGGAAGCGTACATTCAACAGCCTAATTCCAAGGACGAAGTATTCTGGCCTATGTTAAAAACACGACACATCCCGGAGGATTGGAAAGTCCGATGGGGTCTACTTCGGACAGCTTTGAATAAGTATGCTTGCACTTTTGTCTTTGAGCACTCGGATCCAGGAACATCATACTCTTATGCGGACTGGAAAGCTGGGAGGACCCAGAATGCAATTGTTGGCCCACCGCACAACGACCATGTCTGCCGCCCGGATTTCAAACGGTCTCAATTCATGGAGGAAAACCCCTGGCTAGTCCATCTTGAATGGATGTATATGCCAAAGGAAGAGGGATACACCAACCATGAATTCTACACGGTTGCATTGCAGGATGAGTTTCGGCAGCAGGGTCTTCAGGTCGTCGTCCGGGTTCATGGCATAGAGTTAGACCCTGAGACGCCAAGCTTCGCTGGAGAAGAGTGGCACACCGAAGGAAACGCAAATGAGCATATAGTCGCCAACTCTATCTATGCGCTTAGCTCAGAAAACATATCCGAGCCGCAAATCAGCTTCAGACAGCGGTGCAGGCTAGGTGGTCCTTGGGTCTACGACCGAATTGGCCCTTGGGATTCCAACGAGGACAGCGACGATGACGATCCTGCGTTATACTTCAAGAATTCTCACTGGGACCTCAAGTATATAGAGATGCTTCTCGGACGTGAAAACATCCAAAGTAGTCCAGCATTGCAAGAGCTTGGGGAGGTGAAAATGCCTGCAGGCCGCCTGATCTCCTTCCCCAACGCTTTCCAGAGCCGAATGGGCCCGTTGCAGCTTGAGGATAAGACCAAACCCGGCCACTGCCGTTTTCTCACTTTTTCCCTTGTCGACCCGACCTACCGGCTTTGTTCTACTCGCAATGTTCTGCCCCAGCAATTTGATTGGATGACAGGCGATGGCGTCGGCTCTATACCACCGATGGATGCAACTGAGGCCTTAGAGCTGAGAGAAGAATTGGTCAAGGAACACGCCAAAAAAGAAGAAGGTGTTCCTGAGCTTGCTGGAACACTCTACTTTTCTGGATATTCGTGAATGCGAGGGGTAGCCAATCGAAGTATACACACTTTTTTGCTCTGATAATACATATTCCATTTCATACCTGCACTCACTACCATGTGTACCAACTGAGAATTTCAAGGTTGCTTGTCGCAATGTATGTGGGTAGCTATATTACTTTTTACCGTTCCTGATTAAATCATGGTACTTGAGGTCGTTAGTAACCTTGGAATGCCCCATTAGGTCTACAATGTCTTTACTAGATGCAAACCCAGCTATAAGAAAGAAGAAAAGAAGAAAAGAAGAAGAACAGAAATATATTGCAAGACTTCGTCGATCAGTTTTCTTTATCTGAAAAGCTTCAATTACAGCTACAAATAAAACCAAATGAGATCCCTAGACCCTATGCGCCGCGGAGTCAGGGGCTGACTCGCCGTCTCGGGCCCCTGATTGGCCGTCGGTGCGTCCCCCGAGACGCATCGGTGCGTGTATCTTACTGCCGCCGTCCCCTATCGTCCGATCGCGCTCAAAATCGGACACGTTCTATCTCACGAGTTCTGCGATGAACAATGCAATTTTCAGAGCGATCGAGCCACGGAATAGGGTGTGGTGGATGATTGAAATCCACGGGGGAAAATTTTGATGGGGTGTGACCGGCGGGGAGTCCCAATACCGTCACGACCGTATTAGTCTTGAGTATGGTAGTCCATACTAAATAGATTACGGCGTACGGTTCTCAATACCCCACGACCACGAGACAAGAAAGGCCCACTCGACGGTGCAGAGTAGACCTCGGCAAGGACCGCAAGGGACCGGACCAGACCGCGGACCGGACCGGACCATGCAGGGCTTGGTCCTTACTATCAGGACCGCTGGGTAGACCTCTGCATAGCCCACAAAGCCCATAGCCCAACCCAACCCAACCCACGAATGGGTTGGGCTTTGGGCCCATCCTTCGAGCCCATCGGTGGGTTATGGGCCCAGAGTGAAAGCCCACAGGGCCCATTTCGGCCCATAATGGGCCCCCATTATTCACCAAACAATACAAACATACCAATTTATCGCAGCTGTATAAGTAATGCATTTTTCCCTGGTTTTTTTGGGTATTCTAATTACTGTCTAAGCCGTACTTGAACTATCTTCTTCTTCTTATAAGCTTATATGATTGATTGAGAAGATATTAAGTGATAGATGCTAGGTGGTTGAATTATATTAATAATGCTCATACATATCATCCTCAACTCGCATCCTCTTCCTCCCTGATGTACGCTGCTAAGTATGAGTACTCGGTAATTGTGGTGCAGCAGCATCATCAGTATCTCCGTCAAGACTGTAGTTATCAATATCTATCAAATCCCTAGATAGATCACCCTGTTCTTCAGTATCACTAATCTCATCAATCTCAACATTATCCGGCGTCTCATCCTTCTCTTCTATCAATGCGTCGATCTCATTAGAGGTAAAGAACTGCTTCAATTCCTCCGCTTCCTGTATATCAAGGTCAAACTTGGATATACAGAGGTATAGCATTAGCTCTTCGATAGTGCCCGATTTCAAAGAGCCGCGGCGATAATAGCAGATATCGCGTGCAGTATTAAACAGACGTTCCACACCAGCGCCTATTACTAGGATTGCAAGATAATCCCGCGCAAGTGAAGCGATAGCTAGGAAACGAGATTCATTCTCTTTCCAGAATGAGAGCGGCTCCGAATCAGTTATATCTATATCAATGTTAGTATCTATTAGATAAGTGATCGGAAGGAATCAACCTACTACTATTAAGATACTGCGTTATTTTATCAACAACCGGATTTGACTTAGGGATAGATTTCTGGCTTCGAACAAGATTGTGAAGAACTAATCTTGGTGTCGATGTAGAAGACTCTTGCGGGCCCTTAGCACTAGCAAGACGTTCCTAGATCGGAGTAAGTGCATCCTAGAATGCTACTCGATACTGATCCCGTAGCTCTTTAGCGTCGGACTAGTCATCAGAAAGAAAGAATTGGAATCTATTATCCGGCGATAGCATTGTACAAACTGCATAGATATACCCTCGTATTTTATTAGTCTCCTTGTAGTAGTCGCGTAATTTTGACTAGCTAGTATCGAGAGAAGCAAGTATCTACTACTTCTATACAACCCGCTTTCGTTTCAATTGTCTTTTTGATTGTTCAATATGCTCAAAAAGCAAATTATAGATCTCAAAGATAAGATGTGATGTTATATCTCGTGTCTTTAAGAGAGCAAGTGTGTAATCAAAGAATAGCTTTGTAAGACAAAGAAGATAGTCAATCTAACGCTATTGATTATTATCTAGTGCGAAGTCTTGCTTATTGAACTGATCACAGAATTGTATGATAAAGATACGGAGTCTCTTGGCTCGCCGGAGTATAAGATATGTTGAATTCCACCGAGTCTTTATATCTTAGAGAAGCATAATCCCTTGCCCTAAAGGTTAAAGTGCGATAAATGAATCTCGGCGCTAAGGACTAGCGCGGATATATATAGCAAGTGCTCGTATTCTTTTTAAAGTATACGAGATATCCTATTTTTTTGTATTCGCCCTTGCGAGAGTAACTTGTTACTTAGTCTATTTGGTCTCTGTAGTCTTATTCTAAGGGACTACGTTAAGACGGTCAAGTAGCTAGTTCAAACTCAATTGGATTATATACGCAAGATAGGGGATACGGATAATGTTGATATCCCGTGTATTAGATAAAGATTGTTGTAGCAAAGATTGCTATAGTGTATCAACCAGAGTCTTATTATTCGACGCATTATCAGTGGTTAATCCAAATATCCGGTCCTTAATTTTATGCTAAGTAACTATCTACATAATAGTTGTACTTAGGTTCACACCGGAATATATTCTATAAAGGGGTTTAAAACCGAGTAGTACCTCGCGGTAGACCTAGTCAGCATCGATAAAATAGCTAGTAATAGCTATAAATACTTGCCTAAATAGAGATGTCCAACAATCCAATGCAATTAAGATCCTTGTATGCTCCGGTAGCAACCTAAGTATATTCTTTTGCCGCTCTTTAACACGAAGAGATAGCCTACGTTGAATTGTAGTAGCGTATAGTATATCTAAAGGGCTTAGGGCTAATTATGATTGCGAAATCAAGAGACGAAAGGATAGGTTTTCGATAAGTCGGAATAGGAGTCGATTGATAGTAATGAATTATAGGAGTTGATCGTTCTAGTCTTCTTGCGAGAAAGATGCTTCCGCTTCGGTATAACCCTATATTGATATTGATATAAGTAAGTAGTATGAAAAAACGATAGGACTATATATACCGATTGAATAAACCCTCTTATTACCCCCTTTTGCTTCCGTACCCCTATAGCTTTTTTACAAGCTATAGTTTCTAGATAACAAGTGATAGTCGTTATACTATGACGGTTGACCTTTTTAGTACCCTTACCGTTGCTAGTTTGTTTCTTAGTGTTATAAGGATACTCAAGGATAAGACCGTAACGCTTGCATATTACCTTCGGGCTCCCAGAAACTACATACGCCACTTATTTATATTATTTCCAGGTCTCCGAAGCAGCACTATACTAGGAGTCCTATAGAATCATTGTGTTAGTAGATCTATAGTCGGTCTATAACCACTAATCAACCTAATTGCTTTGATTCATAGTGTCGAAAAGAAAATAAGTGCCTATTCTACTAGGACCGACTCGTTGAAAGCACTAAAAGTGTTCTGCTTCTAAGGCAATTGACGAAGGAATAGACGGCTAAAGAAACGATAAACCACTACGGTAGTAGCTGCTAGATACCTGATAAGAGGTAGTAAATAATATAGTATCGAGGTCAGGCTTAAATAGGTCGAACTAAGATAATCCAAACTCGGTTTGCTAGCTTTGCGACATGATTAGTTGACGATTCAATAATAAAGATTGATTCAATGATAAAGATATATAGTATGAAATATATAGTAGGAAGGATATAGGCTTTCAGGGGGATAGCTTCAAGGTCATATATTACAAAAGGCCACTTCTTGAATCTTGATAGTAGCATTAAATAGCAAATTGATGCAACAAACAGAGGATTCATCATAGTGCTAGTCAGAATTGAAACGTATAATTATGATACTCGTATATAATTGACTACATCGTGCATATTAAGTAGGCTTAGCCTATCCAAAGCCCATAGATAGCCTATTCCCAGCCTATTTCCCAGTCTATTTCGCAATATTATAATCCAAAAAATTTCACCCGATAGCTCAAGATATATTTTTAAACCTCTATTGCCTCGAGATAAGCTATAAAATCACATATCTATAAAAGCAGAAATAAAGAAGGAGAGATAGGCTATCTGTCAGTATAAAATTCAATCATATAAACCTACAAAATATGAATTTGATACTTGGTTTTATACTTCAACAGAAAGATGCACCTAGTTTGATCTAGATAATATATATATCTCTTTATGCTGATACTCAGTACGCTATAATAGTATGAATTCATAGTCAAATTGGATCCTTTTTGGGTGACTTTGTATGAAATCTGGCATCATGATGTTGAATTCAGTATAATATCTACTCAATTCCTACAATGTTGTACTTCTGATGGTGATAATATAATGATACTGAATATACAGGCTGGGACTTGCGTAAAATACAGCTATTAATCAGCTACTTTATGCATGCCAAGACTGTATTTGTGCGTAGAAATGGGCTTTGATGGGGGCCTTATGGGCCCCCATTAATGGGCTGTGGGTTGGGTTGGGCTTTGAATATTGGGCCCATAGCCCACTGTGGGCTGGGCTTTGGGCCGGGGGTATGGGCCCATTTGTGGGCTATGCAGAGGTCTACCGCTGGGCGGTCCCAACTTTTATAGGACCGCACCACTGCGGTCCGGTCCGGTCTTGCGGTCCTACAAACGGGACAAACATGTAGAACCCCGTGATTTACATAATTTATGAAGAATCTATTGGTATTTTTTAGTATTTTACTATTATACTTTGTTATATATAGCCTAAACGTATTCTTTCCAGAAATTTTGAGTACTTTTCTAGAAATTACTTA